CCTTGTAACTTGTGAAATGTTTTAATTAATAACAAAATCATAAAAAAAATAATCGAAAAAAATACTAAAAATTGTAAAAAAAAATAATAGAAAAATAATTTTTTTTTTAAAAATTGAAAATAATATTTTTTTTAAAAATATTTAAAAATATAAAAAAAAATCGTAAAATTAAAAAAACATTACCACCCCTGCCACCCCAGCACCACCAGCTCCCATCACCTGAGAAAAATATACCAACATTTTAAATAATGCCATAATGATGGCATATTCAATGAAAATGTTGGCATATTGAAGAGTAATTATGCCATCTTTTTGGAATTTTCAGAAAAAGATGGCATTTTTTTACCAAAAGTGGAAAAAATTTCACCAATCGGAGGTGGTGGTGCTGGAGGTGGCGGGAGGTGGTGGGAAAGGTATCCATAATTTTTTCATTTTTTATGGGTTTTTACTATTTTTTATTATTTATTTTTTTTAAAATTAAAAAACAAATTAAATTTTTTATTTTATAAATGTTTTATAAATTTTTTACGTTTTTTAAATATTTTTTTTACGTTTTTTATGATTTTATTATGAATTAAAGCAGTTCATTATGAATTAATTCTCTTAGGTGTATTTAGGGTAGAAAATCAATATTTAGTCCTATTTAGGGAATTTAAAAAGTAGTAATCTTATTTGTGCTTTTTAGGAACTCATCAGTCCTATTTAGGACAATTTCCGTAAATTATATACTCGTATATATAACTTAGAATTTAAACGTTTTTTATGCGACTTTATAAATTAATTAATGATTATTAAAGAATTAGTATTTCAAAGTTTAATTGAAAATTTTCATTCTTTCATACATGTCTACACAATAAATAAACCACCCTCTAATCTTCAAGTGTATAATAAATAAATCATTCTCTAATCGCACGAGGTGTATCTAGAATAGAATTAAAAAAAATCTAAAATTATACGAAGTATTTTATTACGATGGTATGTAATATGTATTTTTTTAAAATAAAAAAAACAATAGAGTTTATATATTGTAGCTTTGATTATATAGTAGTACCTATAAGAAAATAAGAATTTATTTTGTATTAAAAATTGCAATTAAGAATTAAAATAAATGCTAAGGTGTAACAATCAGTTCCATGTGATAATGGAATTAATAAATGATGACATTTCATCTCTGAGACCCCCAGAACTGATAATGGAATTAATGATACTATAATTATTAGTAGGTCTCATAAAACTACTCGTATAAAACTTAAGAATCGTGGAGTATTCTCATCTACTTAATAAAACTGCTTCTACTCCTCAGGAAGCATAAATGGATATCGAAGTGTTTGAGTGAAAGGATAGAAATACTTCTAAGTGTTCCAAATTACTCCTAGAGATTTTGTTTCGAGCAACTTATAATATTTTTTAGACAAACGCTTTTACGGATAAGGTACAAATATATCCTTGTAGTATGACTAACCAAGCATTCCAGCCCAGCTCGTTGTGAGGTTACCGTGTGTAGTGGGAGGTCTCGAGTTCGAATCCTGCTAAGCACACAAGGGTGTGAAACACAAGGGTGTGAAACTCGTTGAGCCCTAATTACTCCAGGCTCCCCCCAGTCCCCCTCCCCCAGACCCCCCTGGAGTAAAAAAAAACAAAGAAAAGAAAAAAAAATCTTGTAGTATGACTATGAGAACAAACATATTCATGTTCTATTTATTGGAATAAATCTACCCCCGAAATTTATGTGGAGGTGCATATATGTCCCTGAACTTTTAAAAGGTACAAAAATACGCTTCTTGTTCCTATAAAGGAGTAAATTTGCCCTTATTGACTTTAAATAAGTAAAATAAATTTTAAAAAACACTAAAAATAAATTTTAAACTTGAAATTTAAAAAAAAGTTAATGGGTTAAAAATAAAGATTTATTTTTAGGTTAATATATTAACTCTTTAATTTTAAATTACGGAATTACTATTTCTCCGTTATAAAAGAAGCACCTCGAATCCATAAATACTAATTTTATTCTTGTTGCGAAGTTTCGAACACATTGTTACATTTTTTGAAGTAGCATTCTTTGGTTTTGTTTAACCTTAATAAAATTAAATTCACTCTCGAACTATTTATTATCATACAAAATACTCCGTATATAATTTTATAGTGAAAAGAATTCAAAAGATTAATGATTCTTTTACATTGCAACACATATATTAATACTTTTCCAGAAGAATCTTAAATATATAGTCAAATTTTGAAATAATATTTTTTACTAACAATATAAAATTGTGATATTTTTTTATTTTTATTTTTCGATTTCAAATTTGTAATTTATTTTTGGTTTTTATTGACATTTATTTTATTTATTTAACGTCAATAAATAAAGATAAATTTACTCATTTTATAGGAACTTGAGGTTTTTTTTTGCACCTTTTAAAAGTTCATGGGTATTTGTTCCAAAAAGTAGAACAAAGATGTAACACTCCCAGATTTTCCACCCAAAAATATCTTTAAGTAAAACATTATTTAATAACTTTAATTGAAAACATCATAATTGTGCAACGGTAAATAAAAAAGGAAATAGGGGCGTTACCGCACACTCGGTTCTAACCTAACCGAGTGCACATGCTAAAACTATTTAACTAAAGATAAATAAATTTAACTCCAAAAATATTGTTCACTAATAACGATCTTGAAATGGAATTTACAATGATTTACTAATTAGGTTTTCTAGCGGAAACTCTCTCGAAATCAACTTCAGCATGATCGAAACACCACCCGTACAAAATTAAGTACAGAAAGAAAAACACACAGAAACAAAATTAGCCGGAAATGCTAGTAAGTCCCAGCCAACCTCGTAAAACAATATGATTTGATATTTTGAAAAACATTTTTGTCTTCAAAAGACATGTCAAAAACCTTTTTAAAATACTTTGAAAATGCATATGTATTTTACATAACATTATAAACTTGTTCGAGTCAATTCTTATTATTCACATAACAAATACAACTCAAAACTAACTTGTATAATTCAAAATCACATTTATAATTAAAATAATAATTCAATCACTTTAAATAACCCATTTCTCAAAATAGGAGTGATAAGTCCTTATTTCGACACGCATTTGATGCATGTTGACATCGACTTTTGATGGTTTTCCTAGATTAAAGGTGTCATAAGTCTCATATGAAAGGTTTGGAGGTTCACGATAAAGATTTGATGATAAAAGAGCCCTAAGATTGACTACAGGATCAAAAGAAGACGAATAAAACTTGAAAACGGCGATCAGGATGACCTTCTGTCAGTCTTTCAAGCATATATTTTTGTAGAAATATCCATTATACACGATTCATGTTCCATATGAAAGGTAACTTCAAGGGCTACAAATTATATAAAGACACCATTGCAAGCATCTGAGGGGCGGAAGGTGAAAACAGACGAAGAAGTCAGATGATCGCAGTTGCGATTTCAGAATGCGACCTTCCACCATTTTGTTCATATCTTTTGATTGGATGATTCGAATACAGTTTGGAAAGCTGTGGTGGATAGACAACTTCATTATCTACAACTTTCATGAAGGAAGTGTCGTCAAATTCAGAATTGAAGAGCACACGCCGTGCGCCCGATGTTAGGCACACCGCGCGTGTAGAAGGTAGAGGCGAGGAGCTACTGCCAGCCACGCACGGCCGTGCGTGGGGAGACGCACGCCGTGCGTGGCACGTTTTTTCCCAAATATCTGTCGGACGCACTGGGGGACGCACGCCGTGCGTGCGTTCCCGGTGTCCTTTTCAGCCAGAATTGCTCCGTTTTTCTATTTAAACAGCCTGTAAACCCCCGTTTTCAGGGGGAGCTTAGAGAGAGGCCTAGGGACGAATTTTTACATACTTTTCCGCTAGTTTCTTCAAGACCCTAGGATTATTTGTAAGTTCCATCTTTTTAATTAATGACAATTATTTTTATTCATCTCAATTCCGTTGATTCTTCAATTATGAATTGTGAGTAGTTTAATTAGGGATTTGGGATTGATGAGGGGGTTGATCATGATGTATGGCTAAATTCATGATGGATTAATTGCATGAATGTTGTTTAATTTGTGTTTGAATGATTTAATTGATATCTTTTGTAACTAGGAACGGCCGCTAGAATTACAATTGCTTGTAGCAATTAAGGGGCCGTAAGCTCGCTCGTCTGGCAATAATTTAGGTTCCTGCCGCATGAGACATCAGTCTGATCCCCTAAATTATTGTACTTTACGCCGCGTGAGCGGTAAGAACTTAGTTTTTTTTGTTTTTTTCTGGTAAGAACTTAGTAATGATTAGCTAGGCTAAATTAAATTAATTTCATGTAATTAAGCCTGATCTACCAGAAATCTGGTAACCTCGGAATCAATCCCTATTCCCTTCGTCATTAATTAGAGAGAACCCATTTATTTTAATCGTTTAGTTGCATTTTAATTTTCCAATCAGTCAAATCTCGCACAATTGCTTTTTATTTTATTTATTTTTATCGCTCAATTTAATTAATACGTAATTCCCATTTTCCGTCCATGTGGAGACGATACTCGTACTTATACCATATACTACTATCTATTTTAAGTGCGAGAAAACTGACATCAAGGAGCTAAATACATCATTTTTAAAAGTACATTTGTGAAGAAGGAGTAATTCACATAGTACAGTAAAAATATATTTTCCTTAAATAATTAGTCTTTAAAATAACTTTGAATTTCATTCATCCAAATATATAGTATTTCTCCAAACAAGTTTTTTAACAACTGTTATGAGTAAAGTACTAACATATTTCTCCAACTCTCAATACTGAAGTCCGTAAGTAATTTAGAAGGGCAGTGCTTGTTATGGGTACAACCCATATTTGCAATATTTTATATTGCTTTTGTTGTTTATGTTTGGGCCTTGTTTGATGGATTTTTATGTCCTATTTTTGGGTCCATTTGATTTTGGGCTTTGGGCTTCTAAGAAAAGTTTTTTGGAGTTCCTTTTGCAGAAAAATATCAGGTTGGGAAGGTTGAGAAGTCGGAGATACGCATAACGCATACACACAAAACAGAAAGATAGGACAACTTTTCCAATTTTCGTCCTGCACTGCGTTGCTTCATTCAGCTCATCGATCGGAGGTGTTCCCGTGGTCGGATTTTGCTGAAATTTGGACAGCTTGTTTGCGACTTCAATGGCTTAATTTTGAACGGTCGGATTGTTCAGTTGAGCTCTGATTTGGTCAGAAACACTGCACGAACAGACCTGCAGTTTTGGGTGATTTCTACACCTTATTGTGCTATTTTGATCTCTTATTGTTATTGGTGATTGTTGGTGGGATGTGAATCCTTTGTAGACTGATTTGGGGTTCTTTTACCCTCATTTATCAATAAGAGAATTAAGGGTGACTCCTCAAGAGGTCCCGTGGTTTTTTATCCTTCATGTTGAAGGGTTTTCCACGTAAAAATCATGTGTGCTCCGTGTGATTTATTTCCGCTCTTTGTATTGCTTTATATTCTGCAATAGTGCTGGTTTTGTGTGGTAGTTTGGTTGTGTATTAGTTGGGTTGCTTATTTAGTTGATTGTCCTGAGGTTGTGACTTTGTGGGTGTCATAGAGACCTTTATTTGATCCCTACAACTTGGTATCAGAGCCTGGGTTTAATCTGTCACATTATGGAGTCGGGTAATAGTAACTCGATGGTAAAATTGACATCAACTAATTATTCTATTTGGAGACTTATGATGGAAGACATGTTATATTGCAAGGACTTGTATGATCCAATTGAATCTGTCACCAATGTTGATGGTATTGTTTCTAAACTATCCAAACCAGAGAAAATGGAAGATAGAGAATGGCTAAAGTTGAAAAGAAAGGCTTTAGGGACTATTAGACAATGGGTTGATATAAGCATTTTCAACCATGTGTCACAAGAGGCTGACCCATCCATATGATTTGTGGAAGAAGTTGGAAGGTCTTTATGAACGGAAGACCGCTCATAATAAAGCTTCTTTGATCAAGAAACTTGTTAATTTGAAACTGAAAAGTGGGAAGTCTGTTACTGAGCATCTTAGTGACTTTCAGGATATTATTAACAAGTTTACTATGAAAATTTGTCTTGATGATGAGTTGCAGGCTTTATTTATCTTGAGCTCTTTGCCAGACAGTTGGGAAACCTTGGTTGTGACTATTAGTAACTCTACTCCGGATGGTGTGCTATCTTTAGATGTCATCAAAGAAAGCATGTTTAATGAGGAAATCATAAGAAAGGAGATGAGAGTTGATAATACACATGCTCTTGTTGTTGAAAACAGAGAAAGAAGCAAGAGTAGGGGTCCCAAAGGTCACAATAACTCAAGAAGCAGGTCCAAGCCCAGTGATGGGAAGAATGTCAATACATGCCATTATTGCAAGAAGCCTGGTCATATCAAGAAATACTGCTTCCGTATGAAAAGGGAACAAAGGAAGAAGAATGACTCGCATAAAGAAGGTGATGACAAAAACACTGCAGCAATAACTTCTAAGAGTGGTGATGATGTTACTTTGATATGTGCAGCTAGTGAGTGTCATCATGTTGATAGTTCAAACTCTGAGTGGCTTGTAGATACATGTGCTTCATATCATTGTGTTCCCAGAAGAGACTACTTCATGACCTACCAAGCTGGTGATTTTGTTAGTGTTAAGATGGGTAACCAAAGTTCAGCAAGTATTGTTGGATTAGGTGATATTCGTGTGAAGACCAGTGTTGGATGCATACTTACATTGAAAGGTGTGCGCCATATTCCTGATCTACGCCTTAATTTGCTATGTGTTAATGTTTTTTATCAAGAAGGTTTCAGACATACCTTTGAAGATGGCAAGTGGAAATTGTCTAAGGGGTCTATGACAGTTGCACGAGGCGAGTTGTGTTGTTCTTTGTACAAGACATATTTGACTATATGTTCTGGTGAACTCAATGTTGTAGAAGAGAAGAGTTCTCCTAATTTATGGCATCGAAGATTGGGACACATGAGTGATAAGGGGTTGAAATGTCTTGCAGGTAAATCTCTTATTCCCATTGATACTACAGTTGCTCTTGACCCTTGTGATCATTGTTTGACAGGTAAGCAGCATAGAGCTTCTTTTGCCAGGAAGTCTACTAAGAGGCAAGCTACGCCATAACTTGTACACTTCGATGTTTGTGGTCCCATTGAGGTAGAGTCTAATGGTGGCAGCAAATACTTTGTCACTTTCATTGATGATGCTACCATAAAAACTTGGGTTTACATGTTGAAGACCAAGAGCCAAGTGTTTGAGACATTTCAGAAATTTCATGCTATGGTGGAAAGGGAGACGGAAAGAAAATTAAAGAGCCTTCGTTTTGACAATGGCGGTGAGTATACTTCACATGAGATCAACAATTATTGTTCACAACATGGCATTCAACATGTGAAGACAGTTCCTGGCACTCCACAACATAATGGTGTTGCAGAGAGGATGAACAGAACCATTGTGGAGAAAGTGAGGTGTATGTTGAAGATGTCTGATCTACCTAAGTCATTTTGGGCAGAGGCAGTGAACACTGCGGTTTACTTGATTAACCGTTCTCCATCTATTCCTTTGGGTCTTGACATTCCAGAGAGAGCTTGGAAGGGATGTGATCCCACATATTCACATCTTAGAGTTTTTGGGTGCATGGCTTATATGCATGTGCCGAAAGATCAAAGGTTGAAGCTTGATTCCAAGACTACTCCATGTGTGTTTGTTGGCTATGGTGATGAAGAGTACGGGTTTAGGCTCTATGATTGAAATTCATGTAATTTCCATGTTTATATTTGTGTTTTTAATTAGTTTAGAGTGATTGTTACTTTGGAAATTACACACTTTTGGTGTAATAGTTTAGTTTGTAAAATATTTGTAATATGTTTAGATTAGGTATATTCTGAGCTCAACCAGGTCCAAGAACACTTTGGGGACCATTGGTGAACATCACAAGTGGAAGGAAGGTGCAAAAATGCAAGACAAAAAGTGAAGATCTCGTTTTTGGTCTGTACTCGGTCGGGTATGACCTATACCCGGTCGGGTACCCTTCTGAAAAATCAAATCGGATCAACCCGGGAACCAAGCAACATGCGGGAAAGATTTTGGCCATGTTCGATTGTCATACCCGATCGGGTAACCGACAGACCCGATCGGGTATGACCCTATTTTCAGCTTCTGGGAAGCTTCTGAGTGTACCCGATCGGGAGCCTTCTATACCCGATCGGGTACACAACCCTGCATGCTTTATTTCCCTATAAATAGACCCCTTTCCTTCCCACAAAAAACAACCAATTGACATATACTCTTTAGCTCAGTTTAGATTAGTGTTTTCTTTATATGTTCTATCATGTTTAATCTCCAAATGAGGAGCTAAACTCTTCCATCTTGGTTTTGCTACTTTGAAGCTTAATGAATTTGTAAGTTGTGAGTTATTCTCTTTAATCTTCTTCCTTGAATATTAATTCTTCCTTTAAATACTATTTCTATATCAATGTTGGGGAGTGTTACTAAGATGACAATTAGTTAACATCTTGACATTAGTTATAGTTATAGTTATTTCTTCCTCTATGTTAATATTGGGGAGTGTTACTAAGATGACAATTAGTTAACATCTTGATATTAACTATAGTAGGATTCATCTTCTTCAATATTCTTCTTTGAGTATTAATTAATTCCTATTCATATTTCATATTAATATTTTGAACATTACTTAAAGGATCAACTAGTTTTGTTTCATATATTAATTATTACTAGAATCCATCGACGAATACGCTTGTTAATCGTTCGATCGTTTCACGGTAGTAAACTTGGGTTATTAATGCATGCGTTTCATGGTTAATAAACCAAGGGGAATTAATTATGTTGATTAAACCAATAAACCGCTTGTGTTGAGGTTATCAATCTCAATCGTTTTCATCTTGATTTTATTGCTACTATCGGATTAATATACGACACGTGTTCTATATTAACTCGGTAGTAAGTTTTATTAATGAACACGTCTCGTTATTAATAACTACCCTCGATGAACTGGATATACTCCTTGATTGAGTATTCGAGAGGAAGATAGTTAAAAATATAACCAGGATCGACGAACATTTCATTAAGTGGATAAAAGCAAAACCAAGTCCCCATCTCTATTAATTAAACTCATTTAAGTCATTCATCTTAGTGTTAATTAAATTAAATCAAATCAAATCTAAAAACCCCCTGTTACTAGTTATATAAAAAGAGAAGTATTCCTTTCCCTGTGGATACGAACCTTACTTCGTTATATTACGTATCAGTGTTGTATTGTATTATTACTTTGAGTGCACACCATGACAAAGTGCACGTCAATGATCCTGAGAAGCAGAAGGTAGTGAGAAGTAGAGATGTCGTGTTCTTCGAGCACGAGAAGGGAGCATAACTTTTGGGTGCCAGGCATCATACTTACTCTGATTCATTTGTTGATACTACTGATGTTTCTTCTGTTCCTACTTCTGTTTCTGTTGAACAGCCATCACATGATGATCTTGATACAACACATGATGGTGTTGAGGATATGCAACCCGATGATGATGATGATGGTTATGTACGTCCGTTTGATGATGCTCCTAATGATGCTCAAGCAAATAATGAAGAGGTTCATGAGCAGGGGGAGCAACATACCCCGTTAGTCGATGATGTTCTGGTTAGGAGGTCAACAAGAGATCGTAAACCTTCTACAAAGTATACTAGCACAGATTACATCTTAATTACTGATGAGGGGGAGCTCGAGAGTTTTTAAGAAGTGCTGACTAGTGAAGAAAAAGATCTTTGGCTCAAGGCTATGAAAGAGGAGATGGATTCTCTGAAGAAAAATAATACTTATGAGTTAGTGAATCTTCCTCGAGGCAAGAAAGTCTTGAAAAACAGATGGGTTTTCAAGAACAAGAAAGATGGTGAGAAGATAGTGAAGCGGAAAGCTCGATTGATGGTCAAAGGATGCAACCAGAAAAAGGGCATTGATTTTGATGAGATCTTCTCTCCTGTTGTCAAGATGACTTCTATTAGAACTATTTTAGCAGTAGCCGCAAGTCTTGATCTTGAGTTGGAGCAGCTTGATGTAAAAACTGCTTTTCTACTTAGTGCCTTTAATGAAGAGATCTACATGGAGCAACCTGGAGGCTTTGAAGAAAAGAGGAAAGAGAAACTTGTTTGCAAGTTAAAGAAGAGTCTTTACGGGCTTAAACGGGCACCAAGGCAGTGGTATCGTAAATTTGATTCATTTATGACAAGCAATGGTTATAAACGGACTTTTGCAGATCCTTGTGTGTATTTCAGAAAGTTCCCTGCTGGCAACTTCATTATCCTTCTTTTGTATGTAGATGATATGCTGATAGTTGGGCAAGATTCAGTGATGATTAACAACTTAAAGAAAGATTTGTCCAAGTCATTTGATATGAAAGATTTGGGTCCTGCAAAACAAATCTTAGGCATGGAGATTGCTCGTGACTGGAAGGCTAGAATGTTGTGGTTTTCTCAAGAAAAGTATATTGAATGTGTGCTTGAAAGGTTCAATATGAAGCAAGCCAAGCCGGTTAGTACACCACTCGCATCACATTTCAATTGAAGTAAGAAACCTTGTCCTACAACAGAGCAGGAGAAAGCAAGTATGCCCAATATTCCTTATTCTTCTGCTGTTGGTTCTTTGATGTATGCTATGGTGTGTACAAGACCCGATATTGCACATTCTGTTGGTTTGGTAAGAAGATACTTATCCAATCCGGGTAAGGTTCATTGGGATGCAGTGAAGTGGATTTTCAGATACTTGTGTGGCACTTCAGAACTTTTTTGTGTTATGGAGGTGGCAAACTAGTTCTTGAGGGGTATACAGATGCAGACATGGCAGGTGATCTTGACAGTAGAAAATCTACCTCAGGTTATGTGTTCACACTTTCAGGGGGAGCCATTTCCTGGAAATCTAAGTTACAAAAGTGTGTGGCGTTATCAATTACTGAGGCCGAGTATATAGCAGCTGTGGAAGCAAGTAATTAAGGAAATGTTTTGGTTGAAGAGGTTCCTTCTAGAATTAGGTTTGGCGCAAGGTGAGTACGTAGTATTCTGTGATAGTCATAGTGCTTTAGATTTGAGCAAGAATTCCATGTATCACGCTCGAACCAAACATATTGATGTTCGGTATCATTGGTTGCGGAATGTGATTGAAGAAAAGTTGATGAAACTGAAGAAAGTTCATACAAACAAAAATGGTGTTGACATGCTAACTAAAGTGGTTCCTGGAAGCAAGCTTGATATTTGTGGCAAGCTTGCAGGGATGAGCTTCAAGTGGTCATTGAAGAGTTCTCGTCTTCCTCGTGTTGGACTGGAGGGGGAGATTGTTATGGGTCCAGCCCATATTTGCAATATTTTATATTGCTTTTGTTGTTTATGTTTGTGCCTTGTTTGATGGATTTTTATGTCCTATTTTTGGGTCCATTTGATTTTGGGCTTTGGGCTTCTAAGACAAGTTTTTTGGAGTTCCTTTTGCTGAAAAATATCAGGTTGGGAAGGCTGAGAAGTCGGAGATACACATACACACAAAACAGAAAGATAGGACACCTTTTCCAATTTACATCCTGCACTGCGTTGCTTCATTCAGCTCGTCGATCGGAGGTGTTCCCGTGGTCAGATTTTGCTGAAATTTGGAAAGCTTGTTCGTGACTTCAAGGTCTTAATTTGGAACGGTCGGATTGTTCAGTTGAGCTATGGTTTGGTCAGAAACACTGCACGAACAGACCTGCAGTTTTGGGCGATTTCTACACCTTATTGTGCTATTTTGATCTCTTATTGTTATTGGTGATTGTTGGTGGGCTGTGAATCCTTTGTAGACCGATTTGGGGTTCTTTTACCCTCATTTATCAATAAGAGAATTAAGGGTGGACTCCTCAAGAGGTCCCATGGTTTTTTATCCTTCACGTTGAAGGGTTTTCCACGTAAAAATCGTGTGTGCTCCGTGTGATTTATTTCCGCTCTTTGTATTGCTTTATATTCTGCAATAGTGCTGGTTTTGTGTGGTATTTTGGTTGTGTATCAGTTGGGTTGCTTATTTAGTTGATTGTCCTGAGGTTGTGACTTTGTGGGTGTCATAGAGACCCTTTATTTGATCTCTACAGTACTCAATGTTTTTAATTGAGCCCGGTGGTCCGTTTGTTGTTTACGGCCATCACAGGACTTTTGCCGGTACCACAACTGCCCAATGCAAACTGAACCTCTACCTTAAGTGCGCACAGCCTCTGAAAGGGATTCCAAGCCCCCGGGTAGTAAGAAGGCAAGTAGCCGGGATTTTTCTAGATACTACTGTAATACCCGAGATTAATATAAGAGGATTAATAGTACTACTCATACCAACAGAGGTGCATCTCCTTTTAAGGGAGCTCATCACCCAAGAACTTCAAAGTTAAGCGTGCTTGCACGGGAGTAGTCTTGGGATGGGTGACCCCCTGGGAAGTTTCTCGGGGCGTGCATGAGTGAGGACAAAGTGCACGGTAAAGGCTCTTGGTGGTTTGTGGGGACAGTACTATTGGTCCGTAGTAACTACCTCGGGTCCTGCGGGGCCGGGGTGTTACAGGTGGTATCAGAGCAACCCTGCGACAGTGTGCTGATCTGTTAGATATCGGACAGACACTTAGCAGGGGAAAAGATTCTGGTGTTTGATTGAGATTGGTTTAAGGGCGCAACGAGGACGTTTAGAATAAGGATTATCATTCTTGGATTTCAAAACACAATTTCATCAAGTAGTTCAAATATCTTTATCTATAATAGCTTTCAAGATCTCATGTTAAACATAGACATATCCTCAGAATTTTAATTCACAAATTAGAAAATAGTTCACCTTTTTTTTTAAAGGAAACAAACTTATATTAAAATCAACAAAACAAAAGTAACAAACATGTCCCAAGACCTAAATCTCCCTCTCTCCAAACAATACCAAAACCCAATGATGTCTTCACGTCATGACCAGACATAGAATAGTCCCCCCTAAAAAGAGCGAGACTAATCGCTGAAACAGTAAGAGCATAGAGGCTATTAATGGCTGAATCAGCCTGATTGCCTCCAACCAAAATTCAACCTGCTAAACAAAACCAACACACATACAATTCCCCATTATTGTACGACGAAATAACAACATAAACAACAAGCAAATTTAGTCTGAAAAGAAAAAAGCAAAAGAAGTAAAACTTCAACTGATGGAACTCTATTGCATCCACTTTTTCCGAGTCCTCTATCCATGGCGGCGGCTCAGTAGGGGGGCGAATCGCTAATATATACTTCATCGTCTACCTCACCATTATTTCTGTACAGCACGAATTTCGCTATTCCTTCCCAATCGACACTGAGGAAACACTGCTCTCGAGCCAATCTTCCAGAAATCTTCTCAAAGCATGCCTCCATTCTCAAGCCAAAACTGGATAAATCGTTCGAATTGGAATGC